AAAAAAAAAAAGGGAGTGAGGCAGGATTTTGGACCCTGGCCATGCTGCACTGGCCTGCACCCGCCTGCACTCGCATGCATGGGCGTGCATGGCAGCGAGCCAACAGAGTCGCCGCTCGCCTCACCTTTTCCGCCGCCGCCGCCGCCCCCCATCGGCGCTGGCTGGAGCTGGCTCACTCATGCTAACTTATCTCAAGCCCGCAATCTAAGCTGCTCAGGTGCCCGTGGCACACTCCTCGAGCAATCACACAATCACAGAGTCACAATCGCAAGCCCCATCTCACCGCACATCCTTCATCTCCCCCTTCATCTCTCCCACCGCTTTCCCACAGAGCTTGGGCGTCGCTTCATCTCGTCGTGTCATCGATAATCGTTCCATCCGTCGCATTGCCACCATCCACCATCCACCCCTGCAAACATCCCATCTAATCCCCCCTTGTAGCTGACATCCATCACCACGCGGCCGTCGCATAGCATACAAATATGGCATTCGTACACCACCAGCCACGACAACAGCGCAGGGACCGCGCAGACGATTCGCACCACCAAACGCACGCACCGCCCCACCATCGCCACGAGCGTCAGGTCGACCAGGATTGGAGCATCGTCTTTCCCGGTAGAGCACGACAAGCGCCCGCATCGCCCGCATCGCCCACCCTAGACGCGGAGCTCAGCGACGACTCGAATCCACTCGCACTCACCTTGCCACCCTTGCATGATGGCACTGGCCGATTCATCGCTTCGCCCCTCAGCCCCTCTTCCACAGACCTCGCTTCCACCGATGCGCCATCCAACTACACCAACGACGACGGCCACCTCTCCGACGCACGCCACTCCGAAGACATCTTCCCCGACTCCGTCTTCAGCGGCACCGACTCGCAGCTCGACGCGGACGAAGAGCTCGGCTTTGGCTCCGGCTCCGATTTTGACTTTGAGAGCGACGCCGCCGCCTCCTCCTCCCATCATCCCGGACGCAGTCCCGCACGTAGAGCAACAGGCGCTCCCAGAACCACCTCCCGCCGCAGACCCTCTAGGCTCAGCCATGCCAGCCACCTAAGCATCGACAGCGACGACGAAGACGACGGCACCACGCCTTCGCACAGCCATCTGCTAGGTAGCAAGGCTTGGTCGCTGCTCGCGCGCAGCAACGCTCTCGAACGAGTCGAGGAAAGCCCCTCGGCCTCCACACAACTCTACTCCTCCGCGCACTCGAGCCGTCGTGCCCGTCGCGCCCCTCACGCCACGCACGATCTGCCCGTCGTTCTGACCAGCGGCTCGGAGCGCGAAGACGCCGCTGCAGCACGGGAGGACGCCAAGGACGACGCCGACGCCGAGCTGGCCATCAGCAACCTCGCCCAGAGCGCCGGCCTCTCGCATCCCGACCACGCCGACCTGCTGCGCCGTCCCAAGCGCAGGCATCGACGCTCCGCCGCCGGGCGCTCCAGCAAGCGCAGCAACACCTCGCAGAGCCTGCTCAGCGTCGACTACGACGCGCGCCGCTTTGGCTCACGCGGCGGTGAGCACGCCCACGGCGCAGACACGCCCAAGTCGTCCACGCGCCCATCGCGTCTCGTCACCGCCCAGCACGCG